ATACTTACTGTACTAAAATTAAAACTGGGGAAATTTTTAAATGTATATAATTTATGTACATTTCAAAGTAATAACCCCAATGCATGTTAACATTAATAATATATTTTTAATGAGAAATAACTAGTTTCTTGGGGTGCCTGGGTAGTTCTGTCAGTTAAGCATCTGCTTTTGGCTCAGATCATGATCCCAAGGTCCTGGAATGAAGCCCCACATCAGGCTCACTGCTCAGTGGGGAGCCGGCTTCTCCCTCTCCCTCTGCCTGCTGCTCCCCCTGGTTGTGCTCTCTGTCTCTCTCTGTCAAATAAATAAACTCTTTAAAAAAAATAACTATTTTCCAAAATAATTAGGGAGTGGCATTGTTCTGCATTTTTTTTTGCAAATGTCTTTAATGTCTGATTTAATAGATGACAGTTCAATTCTCAGTCTGCTCCTGTATTCGATCTGTTGCTGTATGTTGTTTTGATTTAAGTAAATGAAGAAAATGCAATCCCACTCAGATATAAAGTTGGTAAAGATGACAGCCATTCTTTCAATTTAAAGAGTACTTCATGAAAAAATGTGGCTATTTCACCTCGTAACTTCAAACAGTTGTGTAAGTGCTTTTTCTGGAGACAAATGCTGTACTTTATGTGTACTTCTCACTTTTCACTAAAAATATTAAGAAGATGGATACTAGGGGTGCCTGGGTGGCTAGGTGAGTTAAGCCTCTGCCTTCAGCTCAGGTCATGGTCTCAGGGTCCTGGGATCAAGCCCCACATCGGGCTCTCTGCTCAGCAGGGAACCTGCTTCCCCCTCCCTCTCTGCCTGCCTCTCTGCCTACTTGTGATCTCTCTCTGTCAAACAAATAAATAAAATCTTAAAAAAGAAGAAGAAGAAGATGGATACTCAAAAGTTGAGAATTAATGAAATTAATGACTTATTTTTTTCATCGAAGGCATTCTTAGGGGACACTGACTCTATTTTTATTTTGCTATATATATTTTTGTGGTAAAAAACACATGACATGGGGCGCCTGGGTGGCTCAGTGGGTTAAAGCCTCTGCCTTCAGCTCAGGTCACAATCTCAGGGTCCTGGGATCGAGCCCCACAGCCGGCTCTCTGCTCAGCGGGGAGCCTGCTTCCCTTCCTCTCTCTCTACCTGCCTCTCTGCCTACTTGTGATCTCTGTCTGTCAAATAAATACATAAATTCTTAAAAAAAAAAACAACACATGACATAAAATGTGCCTTGGCAGGTGGAGGGGATGGGCAGGGGCGGGAGGGAAGGCTGCACCTGACTGGTTCAGTTGGAAGAGTTGGAAGACCATGGGACTCTTGATCTCAAAAAACATAAAAGGTGCCCTTTTTAACTATGTTTAAGTATACAGTTCAGTAGTCACTGTATGCACACTGCAGTATAACAAATTTCCAGTACTCTTTCATATTGCTAAACTGACACTCTGTACCTACTAAATAACAATATTCCCAGGGTGCCTGGGTAGCTCAGTCAGTTAGGCATCTGCCTTCGGCCCTGGGTCAAGATCTCAAAGTCCAGGGATCAAGCCCTCCCTCGGGTTCCCTGCTCAGCAGGGAGTCTGCTTCTCTCTCTCCCCTCCTTCTGTGTGTTCTCTCTAGTTCTCCCTCTTAAATAAACAAATTTTAAAAAAAGAAGATGAAGAACAATATTCACCCTTTCTATCCCCCCAGTCCCTGGCAACCACTTTCTATTTTCTAAGAGTCTAAGAAACTGACCTTTTTTTAATATATATATTTTATTTATTTATTTGTTTGTTTGTTTGTTTATTTATTTATTTATTTGACAGACAGAGATCACAAGTAGGCAGAGAGGCAGGCAGAGAAAGAGAGAGAGGAGGAAGCAGGCTCCCTGCTGAGCAGAGAGCTCAATGTGGGGCTCGATCCAAAGACCCTGGGATCATGACCTGAGCTGAAGGCAGAGGCTTTAACCCACTGAGCCACCTAGGTGCCCCGGGAAACACTTTTTTAAACTGCAAACTTGTAATGATAAAAATGATACCAATACAGTTTGGTGACAGAGCTTCAAAACATACTAAGGCATCGGCAGGTTTTAAATTTTTTAAATTTATTATTATTTTTAAAGATTTTATTTATTTATTTGACAGAGAGACAGCGAGAGTAGGAACACAAGCAGGCGCAGAGGAAGATGGAGAAGCAGGCCTCCTGCCTAGCAGGGAACCCTACGCGGGTCTCCTGGGATCATGACCTGAACCAAAGGCAGACGCTAAACAGCTGAGCCACCCAGGCACCTCAATTTTTTAAATTTAAATTCAATTAATTTAAATTGAGGTAGAGGTCAGTGATGCATCAGTCTTATATAATACCCAGTGCTCATTAAGGCACCAGCAGTTTTATCCATCATTTCACTTTACAGCATCAGTGCAGAGTCAACACAGTGAAAAAGGCAAGAAAAGTCTAAGTATTATTATGAAATAGTTTTGACCTCACGGATCCCCAAGAGTCTCAGAAACCCCCAAGGTTTGATAACTTTGCTTTAAAAACCATTGCTCTGGGCATGTTTCACATCTTTAAATCTAGGTAATAATACCACTGTCTTAGAATTGCTGTGCTAGTAAATAACCTACACAAAGAATTCAGCACAGAGGCACCTGGGGGGCCCAGTCAGTTAAGCATCTGCCTTCTGCTCAAGTCCTGATCCCAGGGTCCTGCCTTGGGAATCCCTCCCCGCTCCGTGGGGAGCCTGCTTCTCCCTCTCCTCCCAGCTTGAGTGTTATCTCTCTCCCTATCTTTTTCTACCTCTGTCTCACTCTCAAAAAAATTAAGTAGAAATCTTTTTTTAAAAAAGGGGGTGGAGCACAAAATCTTTTAGGAGGAACCCTATAAATATTTCCACTCATTATTACCTATTACCTAATCTTTATTCGCTTAACACCATATTCAAAGTTCTATCACATTTGCAACATTTCACATGTAATATGTATCCCCAGAATTCTTTACTTGCCTACTTCTTTATATTAGGGGAGTGTGTGTTAAAATATGCTTAATGTAAAATTTACCTTTTTAACCATTTTTAAGTGTACAGTTCATTTGTATTAAATACATCCATTGTTCTGTATAGGAGGGTTTTGATTTTAGCCTTATTTATTTATTTGGGCTCCTGGTGGCTTCATCGGTTAAGTGGCATCCTCCCTAGGGTCATTCCAGTTCCTCAAAGAGCTCCCCGCTCAGCAGGTGGCTGCTTCTGTCTCTCTCTCTCTCTCTCTGCTCGTACTTTCTTTCTCTTTCTCTCTCTCAGATAAATAAATAAATAAAATCTTTTCTTTTTAAAAATTTTATTTATTTACTTGAGAGAACAAGAGCGCGAAATAGAGCACAGAGGGGGAGACGCTCTGCTGAGCCAGAAGCCCCACGCGGGGCTCGATCCCACGATGCTGGGATCATGACCTCAGCCAAAGGCAGCCGTTTAACCGACTGAGCCACCCAGGCGCCCCAATATGTAAAATCTTAAAAAAAAAAAAAATTAGCCAGTTCGTAGAAGTATTTCTGTCCTATTTATCTACTCATTTATCAAATGTTTAATTTCACATATGACAGGACGTATTCAATCGTTTTTGTGAGTGTGCATTTTTCTAGATGGCTTTTTCGATTTTGCATATAATTACTCCAATGTGTTGCGGGGGTGGCGACTTTATTTGAGCGTACATCCTGCAGAATGAGTTAGCGGATTGCTGAGAAGTGAACTTGACACTCGGCAAGGACTACATATTTCTAAACCCCGCTATAGTCATTTACGTTCCCCAGCAAGGTTCCCGCGCGAGGGCCCTATTGTCGCGAGAAGCCTCCGAACCAGGTAGGGGTGGGGCTTAAGTCGCAGTGGTTCCCAGAACCCTTAGCGAATTTCCGGTTCCCTAACTGCTCAGGGAGATGCGCAGGCGCAATAGGTAAACCTTGACTTCCGCGCGCTTCAGAAGGTATAAATATAGATGCCCGAGGGTTTGCTCGGTCTTTTCGAGAGAGTTGCGGCCTTCCGGTTTGGACAGGCGGTGAGTCTATTTACCCGTTCGCTTCGTTAGTTCTAGGTATTGTACCCCAGTCCCGGCAGCCAGATTTCCTTTTAGGCTTCTTTCTCTCCAGGATTTCCTTCAGCGGTGTCCGTGCTAACTACACTTACTCGTGCAGCGGAATTGGGCGGGATGTGGGCCGCTGAGGCCTCGCGAGCCGCGGGTCTTGCCCATAATCTAAGGCACTCGCGCCAAAACCTGCAGAGGTGCCACCTCCCGCGCGGGTCGCTAAATGCGCGGCCCACTCCCGCCCTGTTGCCCATCGCCCGGCTTATGAGCTTGTCTCCCCCGAGGCGGTGGAACCGCATGCAGATCCTTTAATTCTGACACGCATCTGAGCTTAATCGATTTCAAACGGACGATTCTTAATTCTCCCACTTCCTTTATGATGTAGGGAGGGGTCACGACTCCCGATGACCGATTTATGGGTAGGAGCCGTAATTGCTGTGTCATCGGCTCTGCATTTGCTATTTCTTTGACAGTAGTGCTAATCGCCTGTTGGGGTTTGCAGATATGTTTGGGGTTCCTGGCTGAAAGTGCGTTTAGATCACTAACAAGAGACTGCTGATCGGTCTTTAACTCGAGTTGGCACTTGGGAATTCTGGGTCCACCCCAAAATGGATATTCTGGGGAAGTAGCGGTCAACTGGTTGAAATTTATTTCTAACTCCGTAGCTTGCAAGTTAAGTAAATGATAGTGACCAACGTGGATATTCCCGGGAGGTCACTCTCCCCGGGCTCTGTCCAGGTGGCGTACGGGAGCATAGGGCTCTGCCCCGTGACGTATGGTCCCTTTCCACGACGTTGGAGATGAAGCTGGGCCTTGAGTCTGCGCCTGCATATTCCTACAGCTTCTCAGAGTCCTCTGGACCATGACTGAGGAGACAAACCATGCAGGAAACAGCTCTGTAGAGCACCCTCTATCTGGATCTAGGTTGACTGGAAAGAAAAATCTGCTGTATTACTGGATTAAACTCTTGCCTACTTTGTTTTGCAGGGATCGCTCAGGATTCCAAATAAATTGACTTAAGGTAAGTAAACCAAAGAATTTGGGGTAAGAATTGTTTTTGGCTTGTGTTTTCCCGTTGACATTTAAGTCACCCTAGCCCAGTTCCTTTTCATGAATATGTTCCTGCCATTTAATACACCCAGATAGAAACTTTGCTGCATTTTGTTGACATGTTGACAGTTTTGTAAATGTATGCTCCTATCTGGGAAGATAGCTTGTTATTCCGTAGAAGTTAATATTTTCACATCTTTGTCATGTGATAGGAAACTTCTCTGCTAATGGGAAAATTCTTAACAGTTGGGGTGAATTAACCAAAGTCAAGATTATCAAAGTGTGCGTGCAAATCATAGTTAAAGCAAATGTGCATACAACCTCAAAGTCTGTCTGGTTACCAAGGATTTGGTCTCCAGTACAAGCCCTTGCCCTGAGATGAAGATGGGTGTATGTACCTGAATATTGCTAAGACCATGAGTAATTAAGTAGAGAAACCATGAGATAGTAGTAACAACTGGGTTTTTAACAGGCTTTTGTCACATTCACTTGTGTAGCATGGAATGGGGAAAAAGGAAATTTCTTAAATGTTTTGAGGGTGATGCTGTTTAATCATAGGCATTCCAACGTGGATACACCCGGGAGGTCACTCTCCCCGGGCTCTGTCCAGGTGGCGTACGGGAGCATAGGGTCCTGCCCCATGACGTATAGTCCCTTTCCACAACGTTGGAGATGAAGCTGGGCCTTGAGTCTGCGCCTGCATATTCCTACAGCTTCTCAGAGTCCTCTGGACCATGACTGAGGAGACAAACCATGCAGGAAACATCTGGTGAAAACTCAGAATTTTTAGTGAGATCATGAATAGGAGTCTGATCCTCTTTATTTGTTTTCATTCAGGAGAGAAGAGGAGCTTCACCTAACATTGGCTGTTAATACTTCACCTTTTGGGTCCTTTCTTTGGCAGGGAGGGTTGGTAAAATGAATGACAAATGTTGTTTTGTAAGATAAGCCTGGAAGTTTGGAAGCTTGGGCATATTTGACCCGTTTTTTTCAAACTGCCGTTAATACTAAATTTGGGGAACAAGTTTAATGTTTTATAGGACAGGTGCCCAGTAAAATTTGACTAATAGCGGACAGGACTGAATGTGGCCATATCTATTAAAACAGTCTGGTCCTTTATTTTAAAAAAATAAATAAATAAAACAGTCTGGTCCAAAAGATTCCAGAATGCCTATGAAGAGAAAACTGGTCCTAAGGAAGTTAAGATACTACTTTGGCCTTTTGTACTATTCTCAAGTAAACTGCGTTTTACAACTACATAACTGAATGGAGAACAGAAGCCTATGAGATCCAAAGTATGTCTTAAAGATGCAGGTCTGTTTATAATGTATTTATGAATTATAATAAAGATGACTAGATACTTGTGTGGCTCCCTTTTTTTGTGGAAATGTGACAACTGTATTCTGCAAATGGAAGTGCTTGTTTTGGGAAAACTACCTTTGCAGTTAATGTTTGATTAGTTCTGCATTAACTAAAGAGGCTGAGCTTGTGTGTCTTGTCACTTGTGTGAAAATGTGTCACACATTCTCATGTGGGGAAATGTGTGATTCCTACCAGTTACAGGTAAAAGGTTGCATTCAAAGGTGGGTAGAGCTCAGAATAATGAATTTAGGTGTGTCATGAAAGACAACATAGACCTGGACATGAGTGTTCAGAGATCAGAGTTACTAATTAGACCAAGCCTTATCCTCAGTTTCCCACAATATAGTACAGGTAAATTGGCCTTAACAGGATTGGGCATAAATGCAAAAATCACACTATTAAGATAGTTGAACCTCTACTGCCAATGTTCCAAGTGGGACTTAAGCCTGAGAAAATTGTCATCCTGCCTATGAGTGATGTGAGATTGAGTCACAATGGGAATCTTGTTAAGCTCATACTAGCTGCCAGCATTATAGGGCAGTTGAGACCCTGAATGATGGGGACTAGCAGGGAACCATCTAGAAGGTAGAGTCTAGATCCAGAGTGGGTCTAAATTAACATAAGGTGGGGAGGGGGCTTTTAACAACCATGTGGCCAGTTAGAAGTCATCAGGGTCAAGTTTAAGGGAAGTGGGTGATTTTGAGTAATCTTGGAACATCTGGGCAGACTACTTCAATTCAGGGCCAGAGGATTGAACTGAAGCTAGGTAAGCGTTCATAGCCATTATAGAAAACCTGGGAGAGCTGCTTGGGCTTATTTATAAGGAATAAGACTTAAGGTCATTTGTTAAAACTACATTTGTACTTACCTGTGCCAGGCACTGTTGTAAGCTTGGCATGTATTCATGACGGAGGTAGGTATTAGATTTAACAGGCTAATTGTCCAAGCCAACAGCTGAGTAGAGCCTCTGCACAAATCCACACCTGTAGACTTGCTGGGAGGAAACTTCTATACCTGGGCCAGCCTTTTGTCCAGTTCTCATAAGCAGCCTACTGAGAGGAGGTGCTCAGTAAAATGTCTGAATGGTGTTAGTTTTCCCCTTAGAATCAGGGAGTTTAGTTTCTAGTACTAGTGAACACAGGCCGGGTAACCTGCTGGGCAGGAAATAGTGCATTCTTTGTGTAGCTGAAGCAAAGCTATCATTAGGTCTTCTAGGCGCTACCCTTTCAACCTCCTGCTTTCGACTTACCTGTCTAGGCTTTTTCAAACAGGCTCTTCTAGCCTTTTCCTGAGTGTAGGCAGTCCTATCCGTCATTGCTAAACTTGGTCTTGGAGTCAAAGCCTGCCTGGCTTGAATCCAAATAGCACCACCTGCTGTGCATGTGACCTTGGGCAAGCCCCTTAACCCCTGCCTCCTTTTTTTTCATCCACATAATGGGGATGATTAAAGTACCTACCTGTTGGTGTTCTGATGAGAAATTTGTTATTTTGTAAAAAGCTTAGTTTCATATAAGTAGGAGTCTGTTAAATACCGCTTACCAAGCAGATAACCTGGGATACGGTATCTAATAAATTTTGTCGAATAAATAGCTATTACTAAACCAGGTTTATCTCAAAACCAGCCCTATTTCTAGGAGAGTTTAAGGGATTAGTAATGCCCAAGATCACCTAACTAGTAAGGAGCAAAACCAGGATTCAAAGCTACTTCCAAAACCATATATATTACTAGCTTTGAGCAAGACAGTGGTGATACTTATTTTTTTGAAGATTTTATTTATTTGACAGAGATCATAAGTAGGTAGAGAGGCAGGCAGAGAGAGAGGGGGAAGCAGGCTACCCGCTGAGCAGAGAGCCCGATGCGGGGCTCGATCCCATGACCCCAGGATTGTGACCTGAGCTGAAGGCAGAGGCTTTAACCCACTGAGCCACCCAGGCGCCTCCAGTGGTGATATTTGTATATTACTTAATACTCCATGCACCTCCGTAAAGTAGGTACTCTTTGTGCCCCTTTTGCAGATGAGGAAAGCTGAAGTTGGAGGATATGAGGAACAGCCAGTAAGTGGCAGAGTATGCATGTGAGCAAGGCGACTGACTACAGAGCCTATTTTAAATCTATGTCATATCATGCCTCAAATAATACTATTTCCACCTGTTTTAAACCACTTCTTTTTGTATTGAGCTAATGTAATAACCACGACACCATAAAGCCTCAGTTTCAGTTGTAATGAATTCTAAACTTATGCGCCCAGTTTTACTTGACAGTGGAAAATAGAGTGGAAATGAGTAGTTTCCTGGGGAGTGAGAGCCTTTGCCTGGCCATGCCTCCCCCTTTCACCACCTTCTATCTTAGGGATGGATGGGACCCACATTTTAATGATAGTACCTGACATTTGATGAAGATTTGCTATGTGCTAGGCATTCTTTAATCTTTTTTTTTTTTTAAGATTCTATTTGATAGCGCATGCGAGGGAGAGCACCTGCTGGAGAAGGGCCAGAGGAAGAGGGAGAAGCACATTCCCCGCTGAGCAGGGAGCGCCACATGGGGCTCTATCCCAGAACCCTAAAATCACAACCCAAGCCAAAGACAAGACACTTAACCGACTGAGCCACTCAGGAGCCCCACGTTCTTTAATCCTTAAAACAGCCTTACGCAGTGCAGGGAATTTTATTAAATCCATGTTCTAGAAAAGGAAGACAAAATTAAGGTTTTATCATTTGCTCAAGGCCACACAAAGTGGAACTTAAAGGTCTTTGTCTCTAGGGCCTGAATTCTGCACCACTGTCTTCACTTTTCCTTACAAGCACAACACCTTGGGGTGCTTAGGGTGGTTCACTAGGTTAAGCCTCTGCCTTTGGCTTGGGTCTTGGTCTCAGGGTCCTGGGATGGAGCCCCATGTTGGGCTCTGCTCAGCGGGAACTGCTCACCCCCCCTTCCTGCCTCTCTGCCTACTTGTGATCTCTCTCTCTCTCTCTCTCTCTCTCTGTCAAATAAATAAATAAATAATAAATAAAAATAAGCACAACACCTTGAGTATCCCATCATGATAGTTGTTAGCATTCTGATGTGATTATTTTTAAACTGATGTACATCTAACTTACTAGTTGGATCCTCAAGGAGTGGGACCATCTATGTAAGCTCAGTACCTGTACCGCCTGGCACATGGCAAACACTGGTTGTTGTTGTTTTTCTATGTTCTATTGATTTCTGCTTTTATCTTTATTTTTTTTTATGATTAGATGTAGTTTATATTCCTTTTCCTCATTTCTTTTTTTATTAGGATTTGTTTATTTGAGGGGGTGCCTGGGTGGCTCGGTCATTAAGAGTCTGCCTTCAGCTCAGGTCATGATCCTGGGGTCCTGGGATCAAGCCCCACATTGGGCTCCCTGCTCCTCGGGAAGCCTGCTTCTCCCTCTCGCACTGCCCCCTTGTGTTCGCTCTCTCGCTGTCTCTCTCTCTCTCTCAAATAAAGTCTTGGAAAAAAAAAAAAAGATTTATTTGAGAGACAGCACTTGAGTGGGGAAAGGGGCAGAGGCAGAGGGAGAGAATCTGGACCAGATTCCCTGCTGAGCCTGGAGCAACACACAGGACTCATTCTCACAATCCTGAGATCATGACCTGAGCTGAAATCTGGAGTCAGACCCTTAACTGACTGAGCCACCCAGGCACCCCTCTTTCCCTCACTTCTTAAGGTAGAAGTTAAGGTCATTGATTTAAGAGTTTTCTTTTATTTAAATAGAAGCATTTAGTGCTATAAGTTTCCCCCAAATATTGCTTTAACAATATCCTAAACTTCTGGTATGTTGTGTTTTCCTTTTAATTCAGCTCAAAATACTTTCAAATTCCCTTTTGATTTCTTTTATCTATGGGCTATTTAAAAGTGTATTCGTTTTTAAATACTTGGGAGTTTTCCAAAGATCTTTCTGTTATTGGTCTCTATTTTAATGTCAATGTAGTCTAAGAATATACTTTGTACGACTTGAATCCTTTTAAATTTACCAAGACTTGTTCTATGACCTAGAACATGGTCTATCTTGGTAAATGTTTCATGTATACTTGAGAAGAATATGTATTTTACTGTTGTTTGAAGAAAGCCAAGGTGGAATGTGAAGAAAGGTGAAGCATCTTATAAACGTGTCAGGTTGGCTGCAGTTGTTCAAGTTGATGTCCTTGCTGGTTTCCTGGCTACTTCTTCTATCAATTACCCAGAGTGGGTTATCAAAATCTCCAGCTAAATTTGTGCATTTGTCTGTTTCTTAAAGAAGTTCTATCAGGGCGTGCCTTCAGCTCAGGTCATGATCCTAGCCACAGTCCTGGGCTGGAGCCCTGCATCGGGCTCCCTGCTCAGTGGGAAGCCTGCTTCTCCCTTTGCCTTTGCCTGCCACTGGCCCTGCTTGTGCTCTCTGTCTGTCAAATAAATAAATCTTTAAAAAAAAAAAAAAGTTCTATCCATTTTTGCTTCATGTATTGTGAAACTTTGTTATTAGTTGCAATATGTTCAGGGTTGTGTATTTTGATTGACTTATTTATCATTTATGAAATTACTTCATTTCAGTAAGTCTTTGCTCTGAAATCTACTTTGTCTGTTATTAATATAGCTGCTCCAGCTTTCTTTTGACTATTATTACCAGAGTATCTTTTCCATCCTTTTTCTTTTAACTTATTTGTGTATTTATATTTATACTTTATATCTTGGGCACCTGGGTGCCTCAGTGGGTTAAAGCCTCTGCCTTTCAGCTCAGGTCATGATCCCAGGGTTCTGGGATCGAGCCCCGCATTGAGCTCTCTGCTCAGCAGGGAGCCTGCTTCCTCCTCTCTCTCTGCCTGCCTCTCTGCCTACTTGTAATCTCTGTCTGTCAAATTAAAAAAAAAAAAAATCTTTAAACTATATATCTTGTAGACAGTGTATAGTTGGGTCTTGCTTTTTTGATTTATTATGATAATCTCTACCTTTCACCTGGAGAGTTTAGACCCTATTTTTATATGATTAATGTGCTTCGGTTTGAATCTTATCAATTTTTTTTATTTGAGAGAGAGAGAAAAAACATGGGTAGAGGGAGAAGAAGACTCCCCACTGAGCAGGGAGCAGGATGCAGGGCTGGATCCCAGGACCCTGGGATCATGACCTGAGCCAAAGGCAGATGCTTAATAAACTGAGCCACCCAGCACCCTAGAGTCTTATTTTGATACATGTTTTTTATTTGTCTCATCTGTTCTTTATTTCTTTTGTCTTCTTATTCTTCCTTTTAAAAAATGAGTATTGGGGGTCCCTGGTGGTTCAATCAGTTGAGCATCTGACTCTTGATTTCTGCTTGGGTCATGATCCTGGAGTCCTGAAATGGAGCCCCACATCAGGCTCCTCGCTCAGCAGGGAGTCTGATTGGGATTCTCTCTCTCCCTTTCCCTTTGTCCCTCCCCCCATGTTTAATGCACACTCTCTCTTTCAAATAAATAAGTAAATCATTTTAAAAAAGTGAGTACTGGGTGCCTGGGTGGCTCACTTGGTTAAGTGTCTGACTCTTGATTTTAGCTCAGGTCATAATCTCAAGGTTCAAAGATGGAACCCTGCATTGAGCACCGCATTGGGTGTGGAGCCCGCTTAAGATTTTCTCTTCCTTTCCCACTGCCCTCCCTCTCTCTTTAAAAAAAAAAAAAAAAAAAGAGGTTTTTTTGTTTGTTTGTTTTTTGTTTTTTTCCCTGATTCTATATTACCTTCTTTGTTGGCTTACTAGGTATAACTTTGTTTTGTTATTTTTGGGGTTGCTTTAGGGTTCATAGTATACATCTATAGTATACATCTATATATACATATACATAAGTATACAGCTTATAAGAGTTCACATTGGTATTCTATCACATCACTTAGGGTAGTATAAGAACAATACGTTTGTCACCCCACAGTCTTAGTTACTGTTGTCATGTGTATCACTTTTATATATGTTATAAAACCCACAATACATTATTTTGTTTAAACAGGCAATTATCCTTTTTAAAGTTTTAAGAAAGAAAACAATCATTCAAAAATGAAGGTGAGGGGGTGGGGGTGGGGAAAAAACAACAACAAAAATGAAGGTGAGGGGTGCCTGGGTGACTCAGTGGTTAAGCCTCTTCCTTCGACTCAGATCATGATCTCAGGGTTCTGGAATCGAGCCCCGCATCGGGCTCTCTGCTCAGCAGGGAGCCTGCTTCCCTTCCTTTCTCTCTGCCTGCCTCTCTGCCTACTTGTGATTTCTGTTTGTCAAATAAATAAATAAAATCTTAAAAAAAAAAAATGAAGGTGAAATAAGGAATTTTCCAGTGCCCTTCATTCCTCTGTGTAGATCCAGATCCTCGTCTGGTATCATGTTCCTTGTGCCCAAAGGTCTTCCTTTAATATCTCTTTTACAGTGGTTCAACTGGTAATGAATTCTTTCAGCTTTTATATGTCTGAAATCTCTTTTTTTAAAAAAGATTTTATTTATTTATTTAACAGACAGAGATCACAAGCAAGCAGAGAGGCAGGCAGAGGGCAGAGGGGAAGCAGGCTCCCTGCTGAGCAGAAAGCCCAAAGCGGGGATTGATCCCAGGACCCCGGGATCATGATCTGAGTCAAAGGCAGAGGCTTAACCCACTGAGCCACCCAGGTGTCCCAGAAAATCCCTTATTTTCACCTTCATTTTTGAGAGATGGTTTTGCTGGATATACCTTATTAGATATAATTTTGCTGGAGTACTTTAGAGATGTTGCTCTGTTGTCATCTTGTTTGCATTGTATCCTTGTCTCGTTTCTCTGTATATAACATGTCTTTTTTTCTGACTGCTTTTAAGATTTTTGATCATTGGTCTTATGTAATTTGATCTTGATGTGTCTTGTTTTTCTGTGCTTGGAGTTACTTAAGCTTCTTGGATTTTGTGTTGGTCAAGGTTCTCCAGAGAAACAGAACCAACAGGGGGTCTGTGTACGGATAGGTAGATAGAGATTTTTTTTTTTTAAATTTTGTTTATTTGGCAGAGAGAGATTGAGAGAGAGTGTGTGTGTGTGTGTGTGTGTGTGTGTGTACACAAGCAGGGGGAGCAGCAGGCAGAGGGAAAAGCAGGCTCCCCGCCGAGCAGAGACCCCCCCAATGTGGGACTCGATCCCAGAGCCAAAGGCAGACACTTAATGACTGAGCCACCCAGACGTCCCGATGGAGATTTATTTTAAAGAATTGGCACACGTAGGTGTGGGGGCTGGCAAGTCAGAAATCTGTAGAGCACTTTGGCAGGCTAGAAATTCCAGCAAGAGCTGGTGTTGCGTCTTGTCAGAATTCCTTCCCTTAAGGCCTTCCACTGATTGGATGAACCCCACCCACATCACAGGAGATAATCTGCTTCTTTTTTTTTTTTTTTAAGGTTTAATTTATTTATTTGACTGAGACAGAGATCACAAATAGGCAGAGAGACAGGTGGAGGAGGGGAAGCAGTCTCCCTGCTGAGCAGAGAACCTGATATGGGGCTCGATCCCAGGACCCTGAGATCATGACCTGAGCTGAAGGCAGAGGCTTAACCCACTGAGCCACCCGGGTGCCTCAGTAATATGCTTCTTTAAAATCTACAGATTTAAAGGTTATCATACCCAAAAAACACCATCACAGCAACATCTAGACTGGCATTTGACCAAACAGCTGGCCACCATAGCCTAGCCAAGTAGACATACAAAATTAGCTATCACAGATCTGTAGGTCTGTAGTCTGCACATGTTTAAGCTGTTATTTCTTCATATATTGTCGCCCCAGCTCCTCTTTGCTTTCCTGTATCAATGGCTCACTGATGCTATTTTCAATTTTTCAAAAATTCTTTTTCTCTGTCTTTCATTTCGGATAGTTTCTATTGCTATGCCCTCAAGTTTACTAATAATTGTTTTTGCAATATCTAATCTATTGTTAATAGCAATCCAGTATATCTGCAATCTTACATATTGTCAAGAAATTAACTTTTGGTCTTTTTATATCTTCCATGCTTCTACTTAACTTTTATGTGTGCAGAATAAAGTTACAATAACTTTTTTTTAAGGTTTTATTTATTTGTTTATTTATTTGAGAGAGAGAGAGAGCATGAGAGCATAAGTGGGGAGGAGAGGGAAAAGCAGTCTTCCTGCTGAGGAGGAGGGAGCCCTATGCAGGATTCAATCCCAGGACCCCAGGATCATGACCTGAGCTGAAGGCGGATACTTAACCGACTGAGCCACCCAGATGCCCCTATAGTAACTTTCAGCGTCTTTCACTTCTATCATTTGAGACAGTTCCTAGGCCAATTTCAATTGTTTGTCCTTATGGTTTTCTTTCAATAAATAAAACAATGATATAAGTGAAGAAATTAAAATCAGTATATGGGTTCAGGATAGGAAAGACGAAGCGGGGCCAAGGAAGGCTTCACAGAGATGGGGCTGGACGGAGCCTTAAGATATATCAAGAGCTTAGCAAGGCAGGAAGGAAGGCACTCATGAGGGAAAACAGCCCAGATAAAGGAGAGAAGATAGAATGAACATGGACATCTTCGGAGTATAGTGCAGAGGGGAAGGAAAGAATAGGAAATCAACAGCCTGGGGCATTTGCTGCTGGTGTTCCAAGAACAGCAGTGAAGAAGTACCTGAGTCTTTAAAGATTTTGAAGCAGGGCAAGTTCTCACAGCCATGATTTAGGGAGACAAATGTGGGGACCTCGGAGGAACAAAATGGAGGGAAAAGGATGAGAGGCAGGACCAGAGGCCAGGAGGGTGGAGCTTTAGACCAGAGGGGCAGAAACAGAAACATGAAGAGAAGAAAAGAAGGAAGAATTAGAAGTTAAGGATTAAATCTTTACTTCTCAGAGAACCTTAATCTTGGATGTAAGGATGAAGTTGGGAAGGGAGTCTAGATCCACACAAAACATGTTTTATTTTAGGTGTTGGGTCTTCTGGGAAGAGATATAGGGCTGTCAGAAGGGTGGAAGTCAGAACCAGACCAAATGGGCTGTCTTCTCCATTGAAAGAACAAGAGTTCTGGTCCCCTTCTGCTTGTGTGCTGACCCCAGAGAACTTGCCTCAGCTCTATGAACCCCATTTTTCTCATTTTCCAACAATCATGATGTTGTGTAAGGAACAAACAAGCTCACGGACATGGGTGGATGTGTTTCTGTAGTTAGCAAAGGGTTTGATAAAATGGGTGATAATAATCATTCTTAAAATTATATTAAGCCATGTGAATGAGTAAGATCTTGGAAGAAGACAGCAGAGAGATCAAAGATCCAGAGTTGAAACTTGGAGAAATTTCACAGAATATTATCCCAAAGAGGAGTCCATGATGGAGGCGGAGGTAAACTTGGAGAGGTAAGAGACCCTGAAGGTGGGGAGTACTTTGGGGTGGGGTCCATATCAGTAGGAGAAATTCAGTTGGTAAATACTCATCAAAAGTATCCATCTATTATAGACAATTGGGGGGGGTGTGCTATAGTGAGTGCTGTGAAGTGTGTAAGCCTGACGATTCACAGATCCATACCCCTGGGGCAAATAATACATTATATGTTAATTTAAAAAGAAAGTGTCCCTCTAGGGTGTGGGTATGATTGAATGACTTTCAGAGTCAAAATCAACATGAAATGGAGAAAATACCCTTCTGCAGAGGTCCCTGCCCTGATCTCAGAAATCCCCAGCCACAGTCAAATGACCTGAGAGGTCACCTCCGGGAACACCTGAAATCCTGAACAGTTTGTATCCATCCTGAAGAAGGAGTGTGTTAACAAGAGAACCTAGTCAGCTTGATGTCTTTTTCCCATCTCCAGCCCCAACCCCAATCCACACCCTCATCTTCTTAGCTGGTCTCCTTTGCTTCTCTTGCCCCCCACCCCACCCCACCCCTCTGTGTTTCCCCTCCCACCAACTCCATTTTCCATTTTGCTCTAAAACAAAACTCTGCTCAGGTCACTCCCTTGCTCAGATCCCTTCCCTAACTCCCAACTGTTCTCAGGACAGAAGCTGTATTCCTTAGACACACCAGGGCCTGCATCATGATCTGACCCTCCACTCGAGCTTTCTCCCCTCTCCCACGGGCACCCTCTGCTCAAGTCACACCTTGGCAGTTTCCCCCAACCACCCTAGGTTCTCATCGCTCCCTGTCATCACAAGGGATGCATCTCCTAGATGCCCTGCCCTCTTAGACTTGCCTTGGAAAGCCTTTCTTAAGCCCCAGGCTGATCCTGATACCCTGCGTGGTTGTTGATGGTCTGATTTCTTATCTTTCTCTGACTGGGTCCCTTTTGAGAGCAGGGAAGATCATTATCTCTCTGCTCCGTACAGTCCCTGCCCCACCAGATCTTCCCAAACTCTGGTTTCAAGTGGTCTCTGATTGTCAGTTCACTGGTCGGGATTAGGAGCCTCCCAAATATGTTACCCACAGTCCACAGTCCGCGGGCCAGGGGCGGAAAGAGCCTTGTCAAGAGCGCTCTAGCCCGAGCGCGCCACTTGCACTTCCCGGGGCGGCCGCCAGGGGCCGCCGGGCTCTTTGTTTTCCTTTCTGGCCCCGGGTCGGGGCCGGAGGCCTGCAGAGCGCATGCTCTGGGGCAGTTCGTGGCCGGGCCGGCGAGCCGAGGAGTTGCTTGTGGCGGACCTGCAACGAGGTAGGTCGTGCCCGTCACGGGCGGAGGGTCGGGGCGGCGGGTCGAGGCGGAGGGCGGCGCGCGGAGCAGCCACAGCCGGAGCCCTGGCGGGCCCGGGCCGTTGCCCGCGCGCTCGTGTCGGCGGCGCCGGCCCCACGTGAAGCCGGGCGGCAGGAAGGCGCGGATGCGGGCGCGCGGGTCCCCGGCCCCGCGGGGCGCCCTGGCGCGGGCCCGGCCCCGCCTGGCTCGAGCGAGGGCCGCGCGGCCCCTGTGCCGCCGCGCCTCTCCCGCCCGGCCCGCGGCGCCCGCTCGGGCGGGAGATTCAAACGGTCCGAGCGCGGCCGGCTGAGTGCGCGCGGCCGCGGTGACCCCGCTGGGCGCAGAGCCGCGCGCCTCGCGGCCCGGGACCCGCCGCCCCGGCAAGGGCTGCGCTTCCGGAGCGGGGAAAGTGGTTTTGACCAGCGTTCGTCTGGAGGATGCGTTCGGCCGAGCAAGGGGAGGGATCCTGCCGGACCAGAGTGTGTGCTTGAGGAGCGCGAGGGTAGGCTGGGGAAGGTCGACTTCAGGGAAAGAAGTCTCAGCGTCAACAAGCACCAGGATGAAGACTGTTGACACTTGGAGAGGTGTGCTGTGAACCCCGCATCAGCTCATCTGTCAACCGATTATTTACTGACTGGCTGCTCCGTGCTGCGCTGGCAGGGCTGGGGAGCAGTGGGGAGAAGGGCCCCGTGTGGCCTTTACAGAGCTCCTGGTCTCCTTGGGGAGACCCATCTGGGGGCCTCAGTCGTGGTCCGGGGTGTCATCGAAGTATGTCCGTGGAACCATTCATTCATTCATTCATTCAGATAGTAATGGAGGTGCTCCAACCAAGTGTGACTTGTGTGCCCTAGCAGAAGTTGAGTGTATGGAGTGGTACAGGAACTCTTGAGGGGGCCACCCAGCCCTGCTCAGGAGGGTCAGGATGGCTTTCCAGGTGAGGTGACTCTTGAATGGGGTTTTGAAAGGACAGTGGAGTTATTCAGCTGACTGGGGTGGAGGGGTTAGTGTCGTCCATCCAGTCCTTTGCATAAAGGCATGAAGGTACAGGTGAGTGTTGGGGTCAGGAATACCACCGATTTAAGTCTGGCACAAGGCACATCAAGGGCTGGGTCTTGAAAGGTCTGGAGTGCAAGACCAAGAAACCCTGGGTGGGGGTGGAGGAGGCAGCGAGGGTGTCACCCAAGAAGGGCATCAGAATGGAGTCTGGAAAGATGAATTCACCTTTCTCTTGTTGCAAAGACATCCCAAGAGCAGGAATACTGTTCAGCTTTGCAACTTACTACTTGGGTGCCCTTGGGCCACCCATCTAATCTCCCTGGGTGTTAGTCTCCTTATCTGTAAAATAAAGGTAAGAGGCATGGGGTGAGATTTACTAATATTCTGTATTTTTCATAAAGCAGTGATTCTGCTCTAACATTGGTGGAAGCTGAGGCCCCTTGCCCGCAGGCACAGTTCTGTATACAAGGGGGCTCCTCTGGTGAGGAACTCCTGGGATGAAGTATGCCAGCGCTGTGCCCGGCACATAGCAGGAGCTCAGCAAGTGTTTGTTGACACATGAGACCCTCTCCTCCCTTTCCTCCCAAGGACCATTGTCACAAAGAGATTCCTAAGCCTGCGAGACTAGCAAGTGTCTGCCTTCTGAATTGGTGAGGTGGGGGTGGTGGCCAGGACAGCTGCTGCGGTCAGAGAGGGCCCTGTCTTCCTTTGCAGAAACAAGGCTGTGGAGAGGTCATAGGAGGTCACAACAGGAAGGAACACCGGGCCCCTGGTAGGCTGTCTAGTCTGGTGTACCTTCATTCACCACATGAGGAAACTGGAACCCAGGGAGAAGAGGGGAGGAAAGATGGGGTGGGGGGTACTCTGGCCCTGGTGGGGAGTGGTCAGGAGACCTGGGATCTCATCCCACCTGTGTGACTTGGGTCACCTTTGCTGAGCCTCAGCTTTCTTATTTATAAAACCAGGGTGATCACACTTGCCTCCGAGGGCATCGTAGGTGGCTCTTAGTGGAAGTTGACTCTATACCTGACTTCTGCTTATTTGTGACTGTGTCTCACTCTTCTCCCAGACAGTAAGCTGCTGATGAAGGAAGCTGTGTTTTTCTGTTAGGGAATGAGAGGTGGGGGCAAAAGATTGCTACTTATTTCTAGCCCAGACACTTAGTGTGTGGTTAAGAAAACTCACCCAGAGTCTATACAAAGGACTGATTTGTACAGTCCAGGATATGCAGGTGGGTAATGGGTGCTGGGCTCCACCTTTTCTTTCTTTCTTTCTTCTCATTCATTCATTCATTCATTCATTTATAGCTTCTTTCTTTCTTTCTCTAAGTAATCTCTGTATCCACTGTGGGGCTCCAGCTCACGACTCTGAGATCAAGAGTTGCCTGCTTTTCTGAGTGAGCCAGCCAGGTGCCCCCAGGGCTCCACCCTTTAGGGGTGCCTTCATCCCCTGCCCTGCCTCTGGGATTGCTCACAACAGACTCTGCAGTACCTAGAGTCTTCTGTCTGAGAGACATATATTCTGAGACTCACAGAGAACTCAGGTCTGTCCTTCCCCAGGTCCTTCAGTGGCTCCCACACCCACCTGGCCCACCCACTCAGACCCAAACTGCCTCAGTGTCTTCTCTCTGGTCTCACCACCCTCTTCCACTCAGCTGGCTTCTGCCCTCACTTGTCGTGTTTGGCCAAGCTCATGGATTCTGGGGAGGCCTGCCTGGGCTGCCTCCACCCCTGCCTGGATCATGGCCTGCCTTTGGCCAACCTGGTTTTTGTTTTTGTTTTAAGTCAATCAGCTAGCTATACCTTGGTTCTATTCCTGACTCTCTCTTACTGGCTGTATTCTCTGAGCCTCAGGCCCATCAATTGACTTAGGAGTGATAGTACTTCTTCTGCTTGTGGTGACAAGTAGAAGGCTGTTGGCATACAGAAAATAGGAGTGGCCGGTACCTGAGAGTGGCTCGTATTTCAAGGAGTAGGTTGGTATGATGGACAGACACGTAAACTATGGAGTAGTTAGGGTCCAGAAGTCTGTCCCAGTTTCTCTGGGAGAGAATGGTTAGTTTAGGATGAGGGGAGGGACCAGGAATGTTTACCAGTGGAGGTGGATTTGGGACTGAGTAGACATTCTTCCAGTAGGATGAGGGATGGGAATAGAGATGCAAATGGTCTGGAGAGAATAGTAAGCAGTCTGAGATTGTGTAGGAAGCAAAAGGAGGTTGTGATAGAGAAGGGATGAGGCCGTATGTTATATCAGTACCAGACTCTGGAGGCCTTTCGCACCAAGCTAAGAAATGTGGGCTTTGTCTTCCAGGCAGAGGGAACCACTGGGGAGTCTGAGCAAGAAAGCAGCTTGTTTCAGGTCTGAGGTTTAGAAAGATCATGACTGACTTACGGAATGACATGGGGTGGGGATCAGGAAGACCAGAGCCAAGGGGTTATCTTTTCTTGGGGAGAGGGTATGAGAGACAGTTCCCAGGTAGCCTGAGAGACTGGGGAGCCTGGGGAGGAAGCTGACAAGGGCACCAGCTTTGGAGTCTGACCAACCTGGTTGAGACCTTCACTTCTTCCCCCAGTCCTGGGTGAGATACTCTTAACTTTCCGAGCCTCAGCTTCCTCATCTGTAAAGTAGGATCAGTGTGCTTAGCTTGCAGTGAGATGCCCCACAATGTTCACCAAAACACAGGTGGCTAAGGAGATGTTCACTGGATTCCAGCCCACAGGAACACATGTTTTTGTTAGTGCCCCGTGATACCAATCACCTCATGTTTATTTTCCGTCTCCACTCCACACCTTGCCTACAGGTCAGCCTAGCATCAGCACCAGTATGCTGACATAATTCTCTTCCCTGTGTTTTCACTTCTTGCTGTGAGTACTTTTCTGCACTATGGCACCATCTCCCTCCCCGTCACAGCTGTCCTCTACAGGTCATTCTGAAGAACTGACGGAAGATTTACCTTTGGCAGGACAGGGCCTTGGACACAGTGAACTGGCTGCCAACTTGGCCAGAGGTACAGGCTGTCTACCTGAAACTAAGGGATACCTGTTCTATCCCACACCCCTTAACCCACCCAGCTCTGCATACTTAACATCGCCTCTTGCTGGCTCCCAAAGACTTCGGACTTAATGAAAACATCTGGTAAAATGGGGCTCTTGGGTCTCTCCTCCCCGGTTGTCCCCCAGTGTTCTCCCACCTCACTAAATAGAAGTTTGCCATTCTCCAAGTCAATTTTTTTTTTAAGTAATCTCTACCGAGGGGCGCCTGGGTGGCTCAGTGGGTTAAGCCTCTGCCTTCGGCTCAGGTCATGATCCCAGGGTCCTGGGATCGAGCCCCGCATCGGGCTCTCTGCTCAGCAGCGAGCCTGCTTCCCTTCCTCTCTCTCTCTCTGCCTGCCTCTCTGCCTACTTCTGATCTCTGTCTATCAAATAAATAAATAAAATCTTTAAAAAAAAAAAAAAAAAATTTAAAAGTAATCTCTACCGAGTGTGGGGCTCGAACTCACAACCTTGAGATTTAAGAGTCACATGCTCCACCAGCTGAGCCAGCCAGGTGCCCCATTCCATTCTCCTAGTCATTTAAGCCAAGGCCTGGGAGTCTTTGTGTTTGGCCAGGCTTATAGGGGGATCCTGGGGAGGTCTGCCCGGGATCCACTGGATTTCTTTCAGGATGAAGAAAGTCATTCTGGATCCCTCCCTCTCCCTCACTCCACACATCTAATCCGCAAATCAAATCTGTCTCCTAAGTTGATCTGTTTTGTTTCCTTTTCCTCTCTTAGCTCACACAGACCCAGTCAAGTCACCATCATCTCTCATTTGGATGCCTGCAATGGCCTCTTCCAGTCCATCCCAGGTTCTTTAGAGTAGCCAGAACAGCCACTTAAGAGTGTAAATCTGATGAAGACTTTCTTAAAAGTTTTCTGTTTTCCCTAGAAAGCCGTGCATGATCCAGCCCCTGCTCACTTCTTGCCATCTGACCAGTTCTCCAGCTGCAGCACGCTGGCCTCTCCCAGTTCCCAAACTTACCACACCGTATCCCAGGCCAGTTTTGTCCTGGTCTTGCAGTGCCAGGTTTCTCTCAGATTTCAGGTCCTAGCTTAAACGTGGCATCTCCCTCACCACTCCCTCCCCCTACCCCAAGTTATTTTCTTTTTCTTTCGTTTTTTTTTTTTTGTTTTTTTTTTTTTTGGTGTGATAAAATATACATGAAGTTTACCATTTTCACCATTTTTTCCACTTTAACCTTGTTTAAGCATATAGGTCAGCGTGGTTAAGCACACTCACATTGTTGTGCACTCCCAAGTTATCTCTTATGTCTCCTTGCTTATTTCACTCAGCACTATCAGTAATGTTTCTTTCCTGCTACAATGTAAGCTCCATGAGAACAGGGAGAGGGTTGGTCTCCTTTATCCTTGCCACATGTGGCCCAACGCCAAGCAGTGGTAAGAGGCACTCAAATATTTGTAGAACAAATGAATAAATGCTGCCATGTCTTGCGTACTTACTGTGTGCTTGGCACTGCAGAGTCCATTACAACATTTCATTCAGTTTTGACAGCAGCTCTGAGAGGTGGTCATAGCATTCCCCCCGACAGAAGAGGATACAGCTCAGAGGTCAAGGCTGCTGGCCAACCAGGGTCACAAAAGCCGGGGTGAACAAGCCACAGCTCTAGCAGATGAATCCAGTTCCCTCTAATCCCAGAAAATGTGCATCTTTAGCATGGTAAGGGGTGGGGGGGGTCTCAAAGAGGTGGGTCCCAAAGAGAGGAGTCCCACCCCAAAAGAATAAAAGTTGGGTGACATTCAGAACTGCCACCTCATCAGAGTCAGAACAGGCCTGTCACAACCTGTAGAGGAAGCTCAGCCTACACAGGCTTGGAGGGTTCTGAACCTTTGGCTGCTTCCTTCTCTTCAGTCCTTTGTTCCCCGCCAGGATAGTAAGCAGAAGTGTGCTGAGAAATTCAGAGGCCATTGGCCTTGTGTTCATTACCATGCAGTGGGGAGCGGGAGAGGATGATGCTCTAGGACCTGCCGGAAGGAGGAGATGGGGAGGAGGTTAGGCCCACAGCTGAGCCCAGGAAGGGCTCTTGAAGTTCTCCCTCTGGTTTATAGTCTTGGGTAGAGTCTCATCCCTTAACTGAAAAAGGGAGGAGAGGTGGGTTAGATTAGATTAGAGCTGTGCTCAGGCATTGCCTGGGGCAGGGTCTAGATGTTATATTTGAAGATTTTATTTATTTGTCAGAGAGAGACTGTGTGCACAAGCAGGCAGAGAGGCAGGCAGAGGCAGAGAGAGAAGCAGGCTCCCCACTGAGCAAGAAGCCCGATGTGGGACTCGATCCTAGCACCCCGGGATCATGACCTGAGCCAAAGGCAGCGGCTTAACCGACTGAGCCACCCAGGTGTCCCTAGATGTTATAATACCGATATGAGGGGGCGCCTGGGTGGCTCAGTGGGTTAAAGCCTCTGCCTTCGGCTCAGGTCATCATCCCAGGGTCCTGGGATCGAGCCCTGCATTGGGCTCTCTGCTCTGTGGAGAGCCTGCTTTCTCCTCTCTCTCTACCTGCCTCTCTGCCTGCTTGTGATCTCGGTCTGTCAAATAAATAAAAACCTTTAAAAAAAAATAATACCAATATGAGTGTATAGTTTACAGAATTAGCTCATTTAATCTTCAATAACAAAGATGTAGGTACGATTATTATCCCTGTTTTACTGAGGAAGAAACTGAATCATGAAGAGATTAAGTAATTCTGCCCAACGTCAAGCACCTAGAAAGATTCTGGCCCTGAGGCTCTCCGTGGGCACAGGCTATTCCACTTCCACATCAGGGTAGCTCTGAAGGGCACTGACCCCTGCCAGCCACTCCAGAACCTTTGCAGTCCAGATTGGAGAGCCCCAGGCTTAGACAGTTTCACAACCTTAAAGACCAGGGCTCAATAAGGATTTATTTCTGGGGCTGGGTATGTGGAGAAAGAAGGCTTTGGACACAGTTTGGGCTGGATTGGAACTGAGAGAGCTGGGGAGAGTGTCTCTGGGAGCAGCCTTGAGGAAGACAGGGAGACTGTTGTGGGGCAGCAGCAGCCAAATGAGGGAGCCATTTGGGGCCAAAGCCCTCAGCTGTCCTGGATGGTGCTAGGTCCAAGAAACTTTCTTGCCACTCAGTGCTTTCCTTTCCCCTTTTTGTAACCACTGGTGAGTGTATACAGTGTTTATTTCTTTTTTTTTTTTTTTTCGAGATTTTATTTATTTGCTAGAGAGCACGTGAGAGCACAAGCAGGGGGTGCGGCAGGCAGAGGGAAAAGCAGGCTCTCTGCAGAGCATGGATCCCCATGCAGGACTCGGGGGATCCCAGGACCCTGGGATCATGACCTGAGCTGAAGGCAGCTGCTTAACACCCAGGCACCCTAAGTATATTTCTTAATTGGACTGTTTAGGAAAGCCAGTGTCTTCTCAGTAGTGGCACTTTTGGATCAGAGGGCACAGGTGGTCTGGTTTGGTTTTGTATAATGAGAATAGCTTTTATTTGTTTGGTTGGTTGGTTGGTTTTTCTTTTGGTCTGAAAACAATAGTGCTTTACCAAAGTTACTGTTGGTTATCTCAGGGTTGAGGGGAGCTGTGAGAGATACTAACTTGGTTTTGGTTCTTCAAGGTTTTAAATTTTTATAATAAAATAAAAAATAGGGGTGCCTGGCTGGCTCAGTCAGAAGAGCATGCAGCTCTTGATCTCAAGGTCATGAGTTTGAATCTCACAGGTGGAGAAATTACAGAAATATATAAGTAAACCTAAAATAAATAATTTAAAAAGACATGTAAAGTTCTTTGTCAGATATCTTAGATAATATAGCAAGGTACAGGGCGCCTGTGTGGCTCAGTGGGTTAAGCCGCTGCCTTCAGCTCAGGTCATGATCTCAGGGTCCTGGGATCGAGTCCCGCATCGGGCTCTCTGCTCAGCAGGGAGCCTGCTTCCCTCTCTCTCTCTCTGCCTGCCTCTCTGTCTACTTGTGATCTCTGTCTGTCAAATAAATAAATAAAAAAAATCTTTAAAAAAAAAATATAGCAAGGTACAAAGAAAAAAAATAAGTGTCCATAATCCCATTTTCCAGAGGTTACCATTGTTAATAGTGAATATATTTCCTACCACAGAGTCTTGTGTACCTATTTTTGCATGTGTATGCCTTTTTTTTTATGGGATGATGGACTGTTTTTTCAAGCTGCTTATATTATTTGGCAACAAACATCTTCCTATTCAATAAACAAATCTCTGAAAGCGTCAGTTTTAATGGCCTCATATTATTCTATCCTGAATATATGGCATATTTCCTAGGCACCCCCTACCATGGAGTATATAAGATGCTCCTTTTTTTTTTTTGGTTACTGTTAGGAAGAATACAGTAGAGAATATGTATGAAACCTAAACTTTGGGTGTATCCACTATTCTGTTCTTGTTCTTCTCAGATAAATTCTGAGAATTGGAATTGTCAGAATTCCTCTTACCCTTTTTAGGGGTTTTGGTAAAGGTTACTTAGTTAGAGCAGGAAAATGACTGCCATTTCTGAGATGGAATATTTGCCTTGGTTTTTCAGGAAAGGAAGATGCCACCCAAACGTATAGCCAAGAGAAGGTCACCCCCAGAAGATGCTCTCCCTAAAAGCAAGAAGGTGAAGGGTAAGTTGGTGTTGGCCTCTGTCTCTGAATGGGGGACCTCTTGGAGCCCCCAGAATCTAGGACTGGGTTCCTTCCCCCTGACATCTGAAGGTGAGGGGCCTAGAAGCCCAGGAACTCCACCCAGATGGAGGGTCTCTTGTAGCTTATTGAATCCTACCCTCGGCAGTTGTAAAGGAGCAGAGACTTGTCTACAAGCACTCAGGCAGTACTGGGGGGGGGGGCCGGGGGGGGGGGGTTAAGACCCTAGGTAGGGCTTTGCTCCAGGCAGTAATATACTACGGCTAAGACCATTGACTTCCAGAAGTGGGTTCAAGTCCAGGCTCTGCCACTTTCTAGCCGTGTAGTTTTGGGCAGGTGACTTAATCTCTCTGAGCTTGAAGTAACCCATTCATAAAGTAGAGGAAAGAACACCAATCTCGCTGGGCTGTTAAGAGGAAAATGAGATAACATCCTGGTAGCATTTGAGGGAGGTACCTGTGCTTTGCTCTTTCCTGGGATCCTGGAGGGAGACGGGGAGGAGAAAAGTCCACCCCCAATCTGGGAGGGAATAGTGTGGACCCACACTCAGACAGTGTCTGTCTTTTGCAGACCATCGTAACCAGGCAGTGAGGGCCGTTGCCTCCCATCGCGTTCCAGGTGCCCAGAGGCCGAGCCCTCCTGACCAGAAAACCCGACCAGGTGGCTCCCTGCCCAGGGCACCCTCTGCGTAGCGGTACTGGCCCTGGCAGCCGTGGCCGTACCCCCAGGGGGAGGAGCTGGACGCCATTGGTTGTCCAGGGCTGCGGGCGTCCGCCATTGGCCCTCAGATGGCTCTGTGCCTTCCACTGGTTGGCTTGTATCTTTCACAAATGCTTGTCTTCTGTCTTACTCCTGCCCCTTCCTCTTCAGCTGCGTGTCTGCTCCCAGATAGGAGCGGAAGGGTTCTGTGGGAGTATGTCTAGGACTTAAGTCACAGCCTGAGGGTGGTGGCTAGGGACAGTGCTCTGACCCATGTAGGTTCCATGTTTATTAGCTCCATGACTCTGGGAGGGTTACTTAACCTCTGAGTCTCTCTTTCCTTTCCTATAAAACAGAAGCCTAAATGTGGAAGGTCTGTAGTATAACTTAGGGGACTACAAAGCAACTTAACATTCATAGAATAAGGAGCCAATAAAGGGTAGACCTTATCTGAGTCCTCACTGTTGGCACCAGGACTCCTGAGAACTTAGAGCTATTCAGGAAAACTGTATCCTCACTGTTCTCTTCCCCTCCCCATCAAGATTCATTTCACAATATTGAGTGTCTTCATGTTTCCATGTCCTCCCTCATATTAATACGTGCTCAGTTTTTAATTTTCACAAAAACCTTGTGACATAGTTATCTTTGCTGTTCACATTTTATAGATGAGGAGACTTAGGCTTCCTAGAAAGTTCCTATGACTGGTCTGTGGCAGAGCAAGGGCTTGAACCCAGGCGTCTGTGGTCCCAGAGCCCATGCAGCGACCCCTCCTCTCCTGTCATCCTGCACACTCAAGGGCTGTCTTCTTCACCCCTCAGTCTCCCATAGGTCCCACAGCACAGAACCAGGCATGGTGCTGACACTGGGCCAGGGTGACGTGGGCCAGCTGGGGCTGGGCGAGAATGTGATGGAGAGAAAGAAGCCAGCTCTGGTGCCCATTCCGGAAGACATCGTGCAAGCCGAGGCTGGGGGCATGCATACTGTGTGTCTAAGCAAAAGTGGCCAGGTAGGTTGGGGTTGGTGGCCCAAGACTGGTCTGGGCCTGGGGTTGGAGGGCTTGAGGAAGGAGCTTTGAACCACACACATTACTCTGTGGAGATGGAGCTGGTCAGCTGCACAGGGAGTAATCTAAACAAGAATGGACTGAAGCCAGACTTGCACTAATGGGGGTATCTTGGGCACAGGTCTACTCCTTTGGCTGCAACGATGAGGGTGCCCTGGGAAGGGACACATCAGTGGAGGGCTCAGAGATGGTCCCCGGGAAAGTAGAACTGCAAGAGAAAGTGGTACAGGTGTCAGCAGGAGACAGTCACACAGCAGCCCTCACTGAGGATGGTCGTGTTTTCCTCTGGGGCTCCTTCCGGGTAAGACTGGGTCTGGAAGACTGCATGGGGGCGGGCTGGCAGAATTCACTGGTGAGAGCCCAATGATAATCCATCTCCACCTACCTGTTGTACTTAACGGCAGGGAAGTCAAGGCTGGGAGGCAGAGCTTGGACCCAGACCCAGGTCTCTTCATCCAGGCTTGTCCACACCCCTGGCTCTTTCGTTGAATCTATATTATGAAGTGTGTTATCTTGGGAAAAGGGTGGGTCAAGGAGGCCTTTGGGCTGAGGCAGATCCTGGAAGCCTGCTGTCCTCACCCATCTCCCTGCCTTCAACCTCCCCTCTCCCCTGCCCTCTTCTACATCTATCAGGGGTTTTGGGGTACATGGGAAGGATTGTCGCATCTCAGAATTTCTGAGGCAAGGGAGTTTAAACAGTAGAGTCAGCACTAAAATTGTTTTGGTACTTTGGTATTTATTTTAAAATGTCAAAAATAAAGGAATCTGATGAGGTGTGTCCTCATCAGGGCTGTTTTTAAGCCTTTTTTTTTTTTTTTAAGATTTTATTTATTTATTTGACAGAGACAGTGAGAGAGGGAACACAAGCAGGAGGAGTGGGAGAGGGAGAAGCAGGCTTCCCATGGAGCAGGGAGCTCAATGAGGGGCTCAATCTCAGGACCCTGGGATCATGACCTGAGCCGAAGGCAGACACTTAACAACTGAGCCACCCAGGCATCCCTGTTTTTAAAACTTCTTATGGAGAATTTCAAACACCTGAAAGTAGTCAGAAAAATACCTAATAGCCATCTACTTGCCTCCACTGTCATCAGCTTGTGGCCAAGCTTATTTCTCTCTACTCCCATCCACTACCCTATTCCTTTGTTATTTTAATGCAAATCACAAGCCACATAGCATTTCACTCATGAAGTATTTCCCTGTTTGTCCTGGCTCCTGCCCAGCGCCTCATTCTCATCTGGCCCCAGCCCCCTTCACCAGACAGCTCTGGGGTTGCTGCGAGCCTGGACCTGGCTGGTCTGGAGCAGACAGGACCAGCCGGTAAGTGCTCTGTCTGGCCTTCCAGGACAATAACGGTGTGATTGGACTCTTGGAGCCCATGAAGAAGAGCATGGTGCCCGTGCACGTGCAGCTGACTGAGCCTGTAGTGAAGGTGGCCTCAGGTGAGCCTGGGGGTACTCACATTAGGCAGGAGCTGGAGAATTCGTTCCAGGACAGGCCTGGTCTTAGGCCTTACAGACAAGCCCTGTATCCTCTGCCTTCCTCTCCCCGCAGGAAATGACCACTTGGTGATGCTGACAGCTGATGGTGACCTCTACACTTTGGGCTGCGGGGAGCAGGGCCAGCTGGGCCGTGTGCCTGAATTATTTGCCAACCGTGGTGGCCGGCAGGGCCTTGGTAGGTGGCTTAGGTCCTTCTGGCAGGGCAGCTAGGCAAGCCACCCCCTGGAGAATGTCAGAAGCAGAAGGGATTCTCTCTGTGTGTTTAGGCTTGCATTAGATAGGCCTGCAGTGGTAGGTGAGATCTCTGACTCTAGAGCCAGACCACCCTGGATTTGAATCTTGGTTCTTCTACCTACTGGCTGTAGTTTTCTTATCTCTAAACGTACTGGATGTTTCTCATCTCTAAACATACTTCATCGGGTTGTGGTGAAGTGAAATAAGTTAACGTAGAAGAACGTTTGGCACATGGTCAGTTCCATGTAAATGCTACCTTTTATGACTTGGGGAGTCTGAGTGAGGCACTTGCACTCTCTTGACCTCAGTTTCCTCTTCTTTAAATGGGGAAAAGGAAGAAGAATCCCTGCTTAGCTTCCCTCCAAGGGCTGTAGTAATGGGGAAAAACGCACAGGACAGAGAGAAGGTGCGTGTGTCTGCCACTGACCCCGGTCTCCTCTCTGCCTACAGAACGACTCCTGGTCCCCAAGTGTGTGATGCTGAAATCCAGAGGAAGCCGGGGTCATGTGAGATTCCAGGATGCCTTCTGTGGTGCCTACTTCACCTTTGCCATCTCCTGCGAGGGCCATGTGTATGGTTTTGGCCTCTCCAACTATCATCAGCTCGGTGAGTTCCAAGCCCAACATCTGGCACAGCCCAGAGTGACTTGGGTTCCAATCCTGGCTTCACTACTCATTTGCTGGGCACCCTTGTTGGGGTCAGCTTATGCCTCAGACCCATAGTTTTGCTCTCTATAAACTGAGAAGATCTATACCTTGGTATTGGTGTGGGGGAGGCGGCCTCAGCATGTGAGGGGATGAAGAAGGACAGCTCCTTGGACAGCTTCACCCTTGACAGTTCTCTCCTGGCCCTTTCCTCCCAGGAACCCCGGGCACAGAATCTTGCTTTGTACCCCAAAACTTGACATCCTTCAAGAACTCTACCAAGTCCTGGGTGGGCTTCTCTGGCGGCCAGCATCATACAGTCTGCATGGATTCGGAAGGTGGGGCCGCTGGGGTGGGGGTGGGGTATTCCTTGGGCATAGCCCAGCCAGACTCCTGAGACCGGGGTCCTTGGAACCTGGGCCTGCTCCGTGGGTTGGGTCAGATGTGGGTCCATGAGAGCCATCCCCATCCCCCAGAGCCCTGGCACTCATCCAAGTATGAGCTCAGTGGGGTCCTACGGGGGTTCTCCCAGGCCTCCCTGGACACATGCTGCACACCTGCTTCTCACCACTCTGGGAGTGGGGACCAGCTCCCGTGGATATGGGAACGCCCCAGGCCTACCTGGAGCATGCCCTCTGCTCCTCCTCATCTCTCCTCCCTCCTCCCACAGGAAAAGCCTACAGCCTGGGCCGGGCCGAGTATGGGCGGCTGGGCCTTGGGGAGGGTGCTGAGGAGAAGAGCATACCCACCCTCATCTCCAGGCTCCCTGCCGTCTCCTCGGTGGCTTGTGGGGCTTCCGTGGGGTATGCTGTGACCAAGGATGGTGAGTTGGGGCTGCCCACCCTCGGTGTGGTTGTGTCTTAGGGGACATGATTCTTACCAGACTGCTCGTCAGGCTCTGATGTCCGTGATTAAACGGAGCTGAGATGCAGAGAGCACTGTTTGTGAGGACCTTGTTTTCTCCTGTCAGAAGCTCTGGCTTTGATGAACATAAAATGAGTAAACAAACTATTTTCATAAGGGTGATATGTTTCGTAGCATAGGAGAATAGTAAGGAGAGATATACCACTGAGGCCCACACAGGCAGTAGGACTTGAATCCAGGTCTCCATAGTCTTTTTTTTTTTTTTTAAGATTTTTATTTATTTTACAGAGATCACAAGTAGTCAGAAAGGCAGGCAGAGAGAGAGAGGGGGGGAAGCAGGCTCCCCGCTGAGCAGAGAGCCCGATGCGGGGCTCGATCCCAGGACCCTGAGACTATGACCTGAGCCGAAGGCAGAGGCCTAACCACTGAGCCACCCAGGTGCCCCCAGGTCTCCAGAGTCTTAACTCAGGCTTCTCTTTACACTTTCCACCAAGGTGACCCTTTTATTTACAACCTAGTATGTGCCAGGTTCCCAGGGAGTTGTACTTAGACTTCTATTAGGAGAGAGAAGGCTTAGTCACTAGGGTTCTAGCAGGCACAGCCTAGGAGGGTATGAACCAGGTGGTCACCAAACCCTGAGTGGGTGAGTGGGATAGCCACAGATACTTTGAGAAGTCTGGAGCTGATGGAAGCACTTGACCTGGAATTACCTGGGAAGAGTTCCTGAGGAAGTGGTGCTTGTACTAACTTTAAACGTTCAGTCCTTTATGATAAGCAGTGGAGGGCATCCCAGGCACAGGAACATCCAGATCAGTCTCTAAGGTCATTGGAATGGCAGGTGGTATGGGTTTGGGGAGTGGCTAGTCACGTAGAGCCTTGAATGCCATGCCTAGGAGCAGGGAGAAGTCTTTAGCAATGTGTAAGGACTGTTGTCTCTGCTTGACAAAGCTATTTTTTTAATCTATCATCTCTTTGGCTTCTCCCACCTTCCCTGAACTCCCAGAGGCTGGGGCATTGCTAGGCTGCTACGGGCCAAAGCCAAAATTCACCCTCATGTTCCAGGCTTCTCACAGTATAAAAGATGGGGCTAGGGATCCTGGAGACAGCTACCCCATTTCTCTCCCCTGTAGGTCGTGTTTTCGCCTGGGGCATGGGCACCAACTACCAGCTGGGCACAGGGCAGGAGGAGGATGCCTGGAGCCCGGTGGAGATGACAGGCAAACAGCTGGAGAACCGTGTGGTCTTATCAGTGTCCAGTGGGGGCCAGCACACAGTCTTACTAGTCAAGGACAAAGAACAGAGCTGATGAAGCCTCTGCGGGCCTTGCTCCCGGCCCCACCACTCTCCCTCCTAAAACTGGGAAGCTATGATGACTACAGATTCCAACAGCCCCCCCCCCCCCCCGCCGCCCCGAGTACTCTGTCATCTCCTGCCTTTTTCCTATCAGCAGAACAGAATCCTTTTCCTCTTTTCCGTCCTCCTTTCCTGAATCATCCTGCAACCTACAGGATGAAGGGGAGTGGGGGGAAATGGAAGAGGGGAGGAGGTTTTGGCAGCCGGAACATTGCTCACCCCAGAGCTATGTGATTAGACCTTTCCCCCTCATCCCTACCTCCCATGGTCCTGGCTGACCCTGGTTTTGCCTGCCAAAAACCAGAATTCCCTCTCGTGGGGGTTTGGTGCCCACGTTGGGAATCATCAAGCCCTACTCTAGCCATGTGCCACTCTCTGTCCTTCACAATCCACAGGCAGACAAATGGTATGGTGGTCAGACCCAGCTGTCACGGACCTATGCCTGGGGGAAACTGGAGATGGGGCAGGGCTGCCCAGCTGTGCGCAACCCCAAGCCAAATATTTGGCCCTCAGCAGATGTCCATGGAGAGGAAAAAGCAATGATCCTCCACTTGATCAAGAAAAAAGCCAATCAGCCTTCGTCCCAGAAGCACAAAGCATTCTGCCCTTCAGACATTGCCTGAGTATCCTGCCCATCGGACCTGCCTTGCCTGCAGCCAAGGGCCTGAAGTCTGGAAAGGAAGCTACATCTGCAGGGCAGGACGTGGAGGGCTGTGGGGAAGGAGAGTCTATTATAAACAAACTTATAGCAATATTGAGAGTGAAGGAGGGAGGGGAGAGGGGTCAGAGGGGCAGAAGCTGGTGCACAGAAAGGGAAGCAGCAGCTTGTACAGAGGCTGAGAAAATAGAACAGTTTCATTTTTTTTTAAATGTAAAGTATTTTGGAGGGGAGAGTGAAATCTTTTAACACTTTGAATAAATCTAGAGTTTTATAAAACAGGCCACTTGTTTTCTACATACTCCCTGCTTTTTTAAGGGAGCTCCTGCTGTGTTGGGACGAGCAGAATAAACCCATACCTATGCACCTGGGCAAGGCTAGGACTTAAGTGATGTCGCCATGTCCTGGTATGTGCCAGTCAGCTGCTGATGTGGCTGTTTCATACCAATCAAAAAAGAGAAAAAGAGTTGGTTGATTTTTTTGCTTAGGTATTTATGTTTCAGGAATCACTGGAGTTTAAAAAAAAAAAAAATTATGCTGCATAATGTGAGACGTGGAATGGATCTTTTAATATCCTAATCCCAAACCAAGGTTTGAGTATAGTACATATCTATAAATACTTATACTAATCTTGCTGTTATATCATTTTTCAACAGCTGATGTAATTGATTAAACATGGTTAACTGCGCAGTAACTCTTAAGACTGCTTACTACTCATATAAATGTAGATCTTTCCAGGCATTTGAGCAACCAAATCATACAGCTGACCTGGCTACAATGGTGATCCCTAGCCACATGTGGCTGTTTACATTTAAATTAATTAAAACTGTAAACATTTAAAATTAATTTCTTTGTTTGGACTAGCCACATTTCAAGTCCTCAGTAGTCCTGTATGGCTGGTGCCTATGGGATTAGGCTATGCAAACATAGAACATTTCTGTAATTGCAGAAAGTTACAGTGGACAATGCCGATCTAGAATGTCTATTAATGTTTAACAGGAAGTTTTTTATTATCACCAGAAGGGTTCTTCTTGGAAAAGACTTGAAAAAAATGAATATGATGTAAAAGAACTTCAAATGTATTCTGTGATTTTTCCCCCCCCCCGAAGTTTTAGTTTTAATACAGGCAATATACTGATTGGAAATTGACTTCTTAGAAGGGACATCACACTTTTGATTCTAATATTTCCTTCGAAAAGAAGCACTTGTGTGTCTGCTACTCCTCACCACCCCCCCCAAAAGTCCATTTGGTTTAGACTTACTGGAGTTTTCCCTTTTGACAGGATAGCATGTTGAAAATACTCTGTTCGTAATAACAGCTCTTCTGTATTGGAACTTAAAAGGAGCCAGGCATTGTGCTGAACACTTTACATGCAATAATAGCTCTTTTAATCCTTACATCTGCCCTGCACAGTCATACTTGTCCCTTGGGAACCAGTCCCTGAGAGTTGTGACTTGCTTAAGGTCAAGAAGCTACTTACCAAATGCACAACCCAGGCTGGAATTTAAATCAGCCTCTACCTGAGCCTCGAACTTCAATTCCTTTTCCTTGTATGGCACGTAAGTGTTCTAAAGCTCTCTGAAGGTGCTTTACATATATGAGAACAGTCACGTAGTACTCTATAATATACTCCTTGCCATTCTGACAATTGTATATTTTTGTTGTTGTTCCTTATAGTTCATAATTGCCTTGTTTTTCACATGTGTAGTTTTTTGTTAGTGCCAATGTCTTAAATGTAAGTTTCCTTTTGTTCAAGTACATCAAATACCCTCTTTTATGTTTTCCCTCATCCTCTTCCAACCTGGATTGATTACCCCAAAACAAATGTAATCATAGTACACAATGTGGCGCTGCTATAAATATTTACAAAGTTGTAATGTAAATGTTCAATATTGCTTTGACAGACATTTTGTTTTATTTTTTGCCCAGTGTGGGTCTTGAACTCACACCCCCTCACTCCCAAGATCAAGAGTGGCATGCTCTACTGACTGAGCCAGCCAGGTGTTCCTTTTTTATAAGAAATTATAATCAGAAGATGGAGAAGTGTATATGTATGAATGAAGGACAGTCGCTAAGATTCCTGAAACTACAAATGAGAAAGTACATTATTTAGAAATGTGCAGATTCTAGGGAGATGTGGAAACAGCCTCAAGAGAGTGGGAATTGGGGGTAGGGATCGATAGGGTAAGGGGCTGCTGTTTATCTTTTCATAAAATAGGCAAATATTTTCTCAGCGCCTAGCATATCTCAGACACTGTTGTAGGAATTTGATTAGAAACAAAACACAAGAATCCCTGTCTCATTAAGCTTACACTCTGAATTAAAAAGAAACAGATTTAAACGTCTTCCACGTGTAGTAAGCAAAGAGCACAGCAGAGGGGTGGGCAAATAGTACTAAACGAACAGCTCTCTGCTCTAATTTGAAGGCCTCCAAATGCCATGTTGGAGAATTTTACTGGATGCTAGGCATGGGGCCAAGTACTTTCCCAACTTCTCATTTTCTCCGCACAACACCCAATGTGGTAAGCATGGCTGTTATCCATATTAGTCTCAGGCTAAGTAACTTGCCAAAATAATTAGTGAGAGGGGGCTGGGATTGATAGCCAAACCTCCCAGACGCTATACTTGCTACTTAACCGCTGTAAGTAGGATAAACCTGGGAATGTGGCAGCTAGTGGCTGGATCTCAAGTTTTCAGACGCGTAAGCACTTGGGGGGCTAAGGCCCTGAATTTAGGAGGTAGAAACTGGTAAAGAAGGGCCTAGTGGCTTATCAGCCCAGAGGGAGCCCCAGAAAGGGATCTTAAAGCACCTCACTGTTAGAGTTGATCACTTACAGAAGCTCCCCATTCTAAGAAATGGGCGCCAAGGTGAGGCTTTGCCTTAGACGCTCCCGGACTAGGAGAGTTAAACTGTGGGGATTATCTAGTCATTTTAATCAGTGTTCACTGAAGGCCTTCCATGGACAGGTCATTGTTCTGGAACAAGTTAAGAGCTGGCGCTTTGGGTTACGGTAGTCGATACTGGACTCCAAAAAGTAGAGTGATGAGATTTGGGATTATTTGGTTGAGATGACAGGGTTGTGTCAATTTACACTCCCTGGAAACCTCCGCCCCCTCTTTCCACTCCAGGGCTATACACAGGAATGATGGAAGAATCCCATCTAACTTCAGCAACAATCTCATGTCTTGCAAACTGGGAAACAGGGTCAGGGGGTGGCTGGGGCAGACCTGTGCTTTGCCTAAGGTCACGCAGTGGAACTGGATCGCCCTGGTTCCCAAAGGGGACTATTTGCAGGTTTGTTGGGTTTTATCGTTTTTGTTTTTTACAGTGAGCATAATTGGTTTTATAATTTTATTTTATTTAAGATTTTATTTATTTGAGATAGATCGAGAGCCAGTGAGCAAGAGAGCAGGAAGAGGGACAGAGGCAGAGGGCAAGCAGGCTATCCCCTGAGCAGGTAGCCCGCCATGGGGCTCGATCCCAGGACACTGGGATCATGACCTAAGCCGAAGGCAGACGCTTAACCGACCGAGTCACCCCGGCGCCCCAGGTTTTATAATCTTAAAAAGTACGTGTGTTTGAATACATGGTCAGAAAGAAACGCGAGAAAGCCAGTTTCCCGAGCAACCCGAGCGCCGGCACAGTGCCTGCTCCGCCCCAGCCCGCGGACTCCGCCTTGTCTCAGCCCTCCGGGGTCCAGGAGCTCCGCGCCCAATCAGCCGGGTCGTCGGGGAAACCCGGAGCAGCGAATCCCGGCGCGGCCCTGGGAGCTGAGGTTCGGAGCGTGCGCAGAAGGCGTCGGAGGCGCATGCTCCCTGGCGGTCCCGGCGCCCAACTCTGGCGCCGGCTCTGGCCTCCTCTGCCCGCACACTCTGGGCCCGGCTGCAGGCATGGCGGCCAGTCTGTGGATGGGCGACGTGAGTGAGGGCGGCTGCTCGGGTCTGAGAAGGACGAACCTTAGTGTCACGGGGGTTGGAAGAGGCTGAAGGGGAGGGTCCTTCCAATCCCAGAAGGGTGGAAGTGAATGGGGATAGGAATTCTTTAGGTGACACAGGCGAGTCCCAGAATTTAGGTGAAGGGGACCGAGTCTGAGGATGGGGGTTCCTGGCCTTCCGACTGCATTCTTGGAAGGGAAAGGGAGGCTCTTTATGGGGATAGAACGGCAGGAATCCCAAGGAATGAAGGACGCTGTGGTTCTAGGACTGGAGGGATAGGGTTCTTAGATCCAGAGAGGAGGCTCCCGAAAGGGACGAAGTTTGAAGGGGGAGGCAAAGGATTGAAAACGTGGGAGGTGGGATTCAGGCCACTGTGTAGATGAAAATCTCCACTCCCCTCAGCCCCGCCCCCACCAGCCCTGGGTGGGCTCTGGGCTCTGGACTCGGGAATGAGGAGCTTGGACGCTGGCCTTAATCCTCTGCTCATGTATTTACGCAGCTGGAGCCCTACATGGATGAGAATTTCATCTCCAGAGCCTTTGCCACCATGGGGGAGACCGTGATGAGCGTCAAAATTATCCGAAACCGCCTCACTGGGTACATTTTTCTCCTTCCATCTTCTCAGTTCTCCTTTAATAGACCGTGCGGCCAGTGTCATTCTCGAGAATGTAAACATCGAAAAGTCAGGGCTTCTCACCCCTAATACTAGT